GCGGCTGGGATGCGAACCCTGGCCGCGCGGGGGTTGTAAGGGGGAGCAGCGCGCTGCTCCGACACACACAAACTGAAGAGAAAAGCGTCTTGCAAAGCGCACGCCTGCAGGAGCTGCGGCACTATCTTTACTACCCTTTTATTGCTGTGCAAAACCAACACGCTATGGGAGCGTCGCCGTCTGTTTACAGCCGCAATAAATCACGTTTCGCTCTTGTCTAAAAAAAGAAACCCCACAGGATTTTATCCTGTGAAGCATATCCTACGTTTGCACAGCAGCAAAACATAGGAGCGCGCACGTTCAGAGGAAGCGGAGAGGGAAACGCTGGCAGTGCCTTACTGCCAACAGCGATTTTTTCAGCCGTGCTTGCACCAAGCGCCGGTGCTGAGCTCTGGGGTGGAGAGCAGGCTGCCGCTTACCTGACCGGCGCTCGTGGGCAGACTCGTCGCCACTGGCACTGCCAGTTCCTAGCTCTGAAAAACAGTTGAGGATAGAGGTGTGTTTTCCACGTGAGAAAGGAAAATTTTGAGTACATACAACCCAAGCCCCCAGGGCCGTGCCTGGCACATGCTCCCCAACACGCGCAGGAACCGGCAGGGCAAAAGGAATATATAGATAGATAGACAGATAGATAGATAGATATGTATATATATTCTTTGTTTGAGCTTTGATACGCAGGAGTTAGGCAGTCAGGTACTGACTTATAAATGCAAGATTAACTCATCTCTTGGCATTTTTATACTATGCAATTAAGACAAAAGGGACAAATAACAAAAGAATTTCCAAAATTTAGAAAAACCACAAAAAGATTGAAATCCGTATTCACAAAACTGAAGCATTGCACCGTCTTCTTTAAAGCAAGCGCTATAAAATTGCGATTTTAACTCAGCAGAGCGGGCGTTTCTAACGAACCCGCTTGCAGCTACCGCGTATTTCCCAAAGGGACTGTACCTTTTTCATCGGAGGAGAGGGACTCAGCTCCGCTGGAAGACAAGAGGGGAAACGCGTGAGAACGTCTCAGTCCTTTCCACGCTTGCACCCCAGCCTCACCCAGCTCGGGGGCGGCCGGAGCGCCGGGCTCACGTCCCCCTCCCCGGCCCTCGCCCCCCGGTGGGTTCGCGCCGGGAACTGACGCGCAGGCT